CATCTTTCATTTTTCATCTCTCATCTATAAATCAAGGATGATTCCTAAATTGTTTATTTTATTATTTAATGAATGGATGGCAGGCCGTGGCTGGGAGCGGTGGAGAAGACCGAGACGACCAAGCTGCCCGCCTACGACCCGGCGTGCTACCTCTGCCCGGGCAACACTCGCGCCACCAACGGCACGGTACTGAGCTGCGCAGCCACAGAACACTTGTATTATTTATTTTCGTTTTTTCATTAATTTATCAATATTTTCATAATTGGTGTTCAATATGCGACATGCAATTATTATTTGTTATTATTTGTTTTTTATAATAAAAATTAATAATATTATTCATGTGTGGGCGTAGGTGAACGACAAGTTCGAGGGGACGTACGTCTTCGACAACGACTTCCCGTCGGTGCGTGGCGGCGATGGTGACTTCGTGCAGCTCAACGAGGACGACCTCTTCATCGCCCAGTCCAACCGCGGTACCCTCCTCCGCCCCCCTTCATCTTTTTCTACTTCATCTTTTTTCCTTCTATCTTCTACTCGCAGCTCACGACACGACACGATCAACGACACGACACGACACGCGTGACACACAGGCGCGTGCAAGGTGATCTGCTTCTCGCCCAAGCACAACGCGACGCTGCCCGACATGACGGTGGGCGAGATCACGGAGGTGGTGCGCGTGTGGCGCCGCGAGTACGAGGCCCTGGGCCGCCTGGACTACATCAACTACGTCCAGATCTTCGAGAACAAGGGCAGCATGATGGGCTGCTCCAACCCGCACCCGCACTGCCAGATCTGGGCCACCGAGGCGGTGCCCGACGAGCTCGCCAAGGAGCTCGACGCCTTCGCCCACTGGCGCGCCAGCAAGAACGGCGCCTGCCTGCTCTGCGCCTACGTCGAGCGCGAGCGCGCGCGTGCGGCGGAGCGCGTCGTGTGCGCCAACGCGTCGTTCACGGCGCTGGTGCCCTTCTGGGCCGTGTGGCCCTTCGAGATGATGATCGTCGGACACCAGCGCCACCTGAGCTCGCTCGCCCAGCTCACCCCCGACGAGGAGCGCGACCTGGCCGACATCATCAAGCAGGTCACCACCAAGTACGACAACCTCTTCCAGTGCCACTTCCCCTACTCGATGGGCATCCACCAGGCGCCCACCACCACCACCACGAGCCACTCGAGCCAGCGACCACAACAACAACAACAGCGACAAGACGATGAAGATGATGGTAACGAGAATGATGATGGTGATGGTGATGAGGAGTTGTTCCACCTGCACATGCACTTCTACCCGCCGCTGCTGCGGTCGGCGACGGTGCGCAAGTTCCTGGTCGGCTACGAGCTGTGCGGCGAGCCCCAGCGCGACATGACCCCCGAACAGGCGGCGGCCCGCCTGCGCGACCTCCCGGCCGTACTCTACCGCGATCTGCCCTCCAACGTCGAGCAACAACAATGAGAATCAAATAATAAATCAAATTATTTGTTGGATCGCAAATTGTTTTAATTAAATATCTTTTTGTTTGTACAATAAATAAATAAATAATGGTATTATGGCAATAACCAGAATTAAATTGAAATAAATTAAGTGTGGGCTGGCCAGCTCTGCGCTGAGACGAGTCAGAAGGTGAAGGCGCGGAGGAGGGACAGCCAGAAGGGCGCCACGACGGAGGCGGCGGCGGTCTGGGCCTTGCCGGCCTGCGCGGTGGACGGGACCTGGTAGGAGAACTGGTAGGTACCGCTCAGGGCCACCGACGACGAGAAGATCTGGAACCGGTACTGGCCCGCACCCGTAGCTGCAGCGAATGGCGAACAGAAACGAACAAATAAACACACGCACACGTCAGCATTTTGGTTGTGTGTTGTGTGTTGTGTGTTGTGTGTTGTGTGTTGTGTGTTGTGTGTTGTGTGTTGTGTGTTGTGTGTTG